GTATTAGTAGTAGTAGTAGTAGTAGTAGTAGTAGTAGAAGTAGTAGTAGTAGTAGTAGCAGTAGTAGTGGTACTGGTAGTGGTAGTGGTATAAATACTGGAAATAGTCCTGAGGAGGAGGACAAGGAGCAGGGGCGAATTTCTTTGTTCCTGCAATGAGGTTCGTTTGCAATCTACAGTGTTTCTCTTTCTGTAGCAGCAGGCGACAGTGAAGCATTGGATTCTTTGTCCGCGTTTGCCCCAGGGTGCTGGCCAGCCACGTTGCCCGCGCTGTCAGCAGCGGCGAATCAAGCCCCGATTCCAGGACCGCTGCGGCAGGCGCCCTGCGCACGACCGCGATGGCTTCGGCCAGCGCTGCCATGGGAGGCGCAGCCTTGCGAGCCTTGGCCCACACCACAACATCCACGGCCGCGGACGCACAATCGACGCCAGGGGCCACAGGGCGGGAAAACAGGGTCTTTCCCTGGCCTGCTTCCGGATCTGGGCCAGACCTCTTGGCGGCACATTTGGCCGTAGCCTCGCACCACACGCCTGGCGGCCAGGCCACTGCGAGGAGGAAAGCGTCTGGCAACGGCCTCAAAGCCGGCAACACTTCCCGCAAATCCAAAATAATTCCTTGCAAATCGCTGCCGTGCACCGTTCCGCTGTCTGCGAACGCCCCCGGAAAAATCGATCCGGACTGTCTGGATGGCTTTGTGGCGGCGATAGCCGCAACACACTGCGGAAACAGTCGCGAAGCCCAGCTGGGATCTCTGCCTCGACTGTCTCGCGGAGCTCCGCAGGGATCCCCGCGCGAATTTGGCACTGCCGCGTTCAGCCCACGGGGCGGCGAAGAACAGGGAATGGCAGCTGGCTCGCGACAGCGGCCACCAAACCCACCAGCCCTTTAAGGTGTGAGTGGTTTAGACCGGTTCTCTTTCCCCCGTTTCTTTCCCTTCAAATGCCCCGCCTGTTCCGGCCCAGACCGCGAGACCAGCACAGGGCCACCTCAGGCGCCTTTGGCACAGGGGGCCACCTAGTGCCAATGTAGGGCGGAAATGTGATATCCTGCCCCCGCGCCAGGCGGAAGCCAATGCCATGGCAAACCGCCCCTTGGAGCCATTTCAAGCCAGATAGTTGCTACCCCGCCGCCGTGCCGGGCGAACTGTGGAGCACTGCACGACGCCTACCCCTGCCGAGCAAACAATCCGACGCTCCCCCGAACGCTGCCCACCCATGAGGCCCGAGGCGCACGGAAAGACATGGAGCCCATGAAGCTGATCCAGTGATCCACCACCGTGCCCCGTGGCACGTCGAGGCGTGCTAGAATGCCAAATGCTGTCTGCTATCTGGTGAAGTTTCTGAATTTTTCTGAAGGACCCCCTCCTCTCCCCGCCGCACCTCGTCGCGCGCACCGTCCTCTCTTTCCGGGGCTCTGTCCTCGCCAAAACACGTCCCTGGCGGTCTCCAAGGCATCCAAGATGCCCAATATATGGCTTTCAAGGTAGACTTGGGAGGCCGCGAATGCCGCCAAGACGGCCCTATATATGCCTCCAAGACAGCCGAAGAGGCCCCAAAGAAGCCCCGAGAGCGCTCCAAGAAGACCCCAACGAGGGCCCAAGAGGCAACAATCAATGATTTTCAATGTGTGTTCCAGCATTGTTCACGCTTTCCCCTCTTCAAGCTTCCAACGCTCAAAAAAGGCGCCAGAGGACCCCAAGACATACCACCCAATACGGCCCAAAAAGGCCTCCAAGAGGGCCCCTAGACGGCCCAAGAGAGCCCCAAAATTGCCCAAAAGGCGCCCAAATCAGTCCAAGAGAACCCAATACGGCCCAAACAGGGGCCCCAGAGGGGGAACGCCAACCGACAGTCCAAGCCTTTCGCCCGAAGAGGCCTCGGCCACCAAGAGGCCTCGAAACTGCCTCCAACAAGCCCCCGAAAAAAACGGTTCCCCCAACGGTCACCATCGTTATCATCATCACCATCATCATCCGCATCATCATCGCCATCATCACCATCATCATCATAATCATCCTCCCCCTCCGCATCATCAGCATCGCCATTATCATCATCACCACCAGCGGACGCAGCAGACGCAGCCGCACCATCATCATCCTCATCATCATCATCATCATCATCATCATCATCATCATCATCATCATCATCATCACCATCACCATCATCATCAGCACCATCATCATCATCATCATCATCACCAGCATCATCACCATCATCGCCAGCATCATCACCACCGGGCCCATCATCATCATCACCACCACCATCACCCTCATCAGCATCATCACCACGATCCGTTTCATCATCAGCATTATCAACATCATCGCCATCATGATGCTTATCCTTCGCAGGCGCGACCTCTGGTAACCCCTCCCCCCAAAAAAACAGCCGGCATGGCTGGCACGGTGGCGGGATTTACCGCAGGCAGCTTGATCCGCCGCCCCCTGCTTGCAGGGGTGCACGGCGTGCTGGACGTTTCAGGTTTTGGTTTTGGTTCTTTTTCCAAAAGAACTTCCCAGTGGGCTCCGGCAGAACCCGCCGGCCACCCGGAATTTCCCCAAACGTGCTCAACGACCGCAAAAAATCCTCCAAGAACGGCCGTTTCGCTCGGGACATCCTCAAAAAATCGCGAAGATGGCCCAAGATGGCCTCCAAGTCCGCCCGAGATGGTCCAAGACGGCCTCCAAACGGCCCAAGAGAGTCCAAGACGGCCCAAGACGGCCCAAGAGGCCCCCCAGAGGCCTCCCAGACGGCCCAAGAGGCCTCCAAGAGGTCCTCCAGGAGAGTCCGAAGAGGCCAAAATCATTGATTTTCCCTTGGTTTTTGAAGGATTTTGGCATTTGCGCCTTTTCGGCTCTCCGACGGCTCAAGACGGCCCAAGAAGCCCCCAAGATCGCCCAAGAGGCCCCCAAGAGAGCCCCATGATGGCCCAAGTGGCCTCCAAGATGGCCCCTAGAGGGCCCCAAGAGGGCCCAAGAGGCCTCCAACACGCCCAAGATGGCCTCCAAGACGCCCAAGATGGCCTCCAAGACGGCCCTGGAGCATTCCAAGCGGGCCCCAAGTCGGCCCATAGAGGCCCCCCAAACGGCTTCCGACGGCTTCAGACGTGCCAGGAACCCACCAAGATGGCCGAAGTTGGCTCGAAGCTGGCCCGAGACGGCCCAAAAAGCCCCAAAGATCGCCCAAAGCTTGCCCAAGAGGCCTCCAAGACGGCCAAGATGACCTTCAAGATGCCCACGTGTTCCCCGAAGGCTTTCCAAACCGATTCGGGGAACACGTGGTCCGATAGCTTGGCAGGTCTGGCCTCAACGTTCGGCCACATAGGCGCTTCCAAAAAGGCAGGGGGCGGCGGTGATTCGCCGTAGGCGTCTTCGATAACGAACGAAACGAAGAACCCCATCTCTGTTGCAGTTTTTCGTGAACTGCGACCCTTTGCCCAGTTCATGAGATCTGAGAACTTTCCGGGGGGGTCCAGAAAACCCGTCCCTCGGGGAAACTGTTCGCCCCACGCCCCCCGGGCAACGATGACGACGAAGACGACGCCGACGACGCCACAAGGTCAGCGGCGGAGGCGGCGCACCTGTCGCCAGGGCCCGCGCCTTGCGCCAGCTCTGATAGAATGCTACCAGGGTTCGATCTGGCAGCTTTCTGTGAATCTTACTCGGGTTCGATCCAGTTCTAACAAATTGACTGGACCCAGCTCTCATATTATCTTCCTGGGGCTGGGTCAGTGTCAAACAGATTCATACAAGAGACCGGTCTGGATTTGGTAGAATCCTACTTGGGTTGGGTCCACCCTCGCGGGATCCAGCATACATAAAGTCCTGGGAAAGGTCGTTCCAGCTTTGATACATTCCTAGTAGGGTTGGGTCCAGCTCGAATGAAATTCTTCCAGGGCTCGATCAAGCTCGGTTGGAGTCCTAGCATCTTCGAACCCAACTCAACAAAAAGCTCAGTGGGGGTCGACCCTGCTCTAATAAGATCCGCCTGAAGTTCGATCAGATTGTAAGATCATGTATAGGACTGGATCTAGTTCTCAACGGACCCAACGAGGGTTCGACCCAGATCTCACAGAAACCTGATAGGGTAACATCGAACTCTAACCACATCCTTTTAGGGGTCGATCCAGTTTTGGCATAAACCTACAAGGCCCGACCCAGCCCTAATGGATGCCGATGCTCGGTCCACCTCTAAACTGATGCTATTAGGCTAGGGTCCACTTGTAATACATCCCACGAGAGTTCGATACAACTTGCATGCAATCCTACTATGGCGGGGTCCAGGTCTAGTAGAGATCATCTCAGTGTTGGATCCAAGTATAATGGAATTCAACAAAAGCTCGGCCCAGCATGAACGCAACATCCCTGCAAAACTGAACCAATTTCTCGTAGAACACTACTAGTACTCGATCCAGCTTTACGGTTGTCCCACTGGGGATGGACCCAGATATAATGAATTCATGATCGGGCTCGGGCCATCTTCCATAGAATCCGGCTACGGCTGGATTCAGAGAACACGAAGCACAAGAGGGTTCGATCCAACGTTAATAGAGTCCCACGAGGCCTCGATCGTTGTCGTCGTTGTCGTCGGCGTCGTCGTCGACGTCGTCGTCGACGTCGTCGTCGTCGTATTCGTTGTCGTCCTCGTCGTCGTCGTCGTCGTCAGCGTCGTCGTCGTCGTCGCCAACGTCGGCGTAGGCGTCGGCGGCGTCGTCGTGGGCGACGTGCGTCGTCTGTCGTCGTCGTCGCCAACGTCGCCGCCGTCGTCGTCATCATCGTCGTGGTCGCCTTTGCGGGGGGGGTTCTGGACCCCCGCATCACTTTCTGGGGCGGGGGGTCCGGACATCCCCTCCCTGGTTTTTGGGGGGACTCCCCCATTCCAGCAGCGGCAGACAGCGCGGTTTCTGATTTCTTCACGACACGAGGTGGTCTGGGTTCCAAGAGGCTGGTGGAAGGTCGATGCGTCCACCCCTTAGCCTATCTCCCCCTGACGTTGCCCCTGAACCTCCGAGCACTCCCAGCCGAGCAGCTCTGCGGAGCTTGCCACCGTGGTCGCGCTCGCGTTGGACTCGGCGGAGATCTGCGTTGCGAAGGCTCTCGAACCCCTCGTACACCCTCTCATGCTGCTCCTCTGAGGGGACAAGAATTTGGCCCTGAGAAGCTGGCATATCGACTTTTTGACAACAGGCGTTTTGGCCGGGCTTCGGCCCCCCACAGCATCACAGATTGATCGGGCTCGAAAAATGATGCAGGAGCTTTGGGTCTGGAGCTCGGGCGTGATTCCCTATAGCGCAATTTTTTGCAACGTCGGAGGTCTGGGGAAGACGAAGGCAGGGTGAAGATAAATGTCCCGATGAAGACAGAATCGGGCACCTCTGAGAGCTGGCGAGTCTGGAGGATTTATATCGGGAGCCGCCGGCCCCCCTCGCGTCGTGGAAGAGCCAAAATGAAAGCGTTTGTCCAGTTTCGGCCTCTGGGGGCTCTTGCTGGGCCCCGGGGTCGTCAGAAAATGGCTCGGGATGAAAAGCCGGTCCCGGGCATTGGATCGAGACATCCAGAGGTCCACGTGGAGAAAAATCATCACGTCGGGGGTCTGGGGGGCGAGGATAAACATCCGGATGAAGTAAGAATCGAAAACCTCTGAGGGCCACTTGGCCTGGAGGATGTATTTTGGGCGTCGCGGCCGGGTCCGAAGCGCTGCGGAACGCTATGAGAGCGTACTGGGGCGCCCTGGCGAATGCATCCTCAACCCAGGCCTGCCAGACGAATACCGTTACATCCCGATCCACGACTCACTGATTTTTCTCACGGAATCTTTTGGTCGTCCCCGTGGCCCCAAATAGCGCGCCCAATCACACGCAAAACGGACAGAATGCACCTCCATCACATTGCGCTATTGGGCGCTTTTGGACTTTATTTGAGCTCTATTCGGCGCCTCTGGGCGCTGTTTGGCGCTATTGGGAGCTATTAGGCGTTATAGAGCGGTACTCGCCAAGACAGCTTCAATCCAAAACGAGCGGAACCTTCTGTGATCTACTATCTAACGTTCTGTGGGAACGGATTTTGCAAGACTCGGTCGAGCCCAGGGGGGAAGTCAGAGGGGGCGGGCCTTCTCAGAAGGCTGCTGGGCTTCCCAGAAGGCCTCCAACCTTCTGGAAAGCAGCCCCTGTCTTCGGAGCAGGCTCAGAAAACTCCAAGGCTGGAGGACTTCCAAGCCTTCTGAGGAGACCCGACCCCTCTGGCCTTCCCCCCCGGGCTCGCCGCCGCAAGACTGCGCGAGGTGAGGTGCCGACACAAATCCCGTAGAGCTCCTGGCCATGTTGGAGCCAAGATGGCTCTCGCCGCCGTCCTCCGACGGGGGCCAGCAGCCCTCGCGAGGCCCGCTGGCCGCGCCGTGCCCGCCTCGGGGGCGTCAAAGAGGGAGGGCTCCCAAATCGTGGCCTGAGGCGCGCGCGCGGCCCAGGGCAGGGGCCAGGGAACGTCTAAACCCAGACATGGAGCGTCCTGAAAAAAACAGGACGGGAGGCGTTCGCTCCCGTCGGCCTCTGGGGTTGCTAGTCGGGTTCCTGGAACGTCAGAAACAAACTCGGGATGACGCACCGGCCCTGAAGAAAGGGTCGAGACTAGGGGCCGCAAACTGAAAACAACGAGACCTCGCTTGTGTGGGGAAGAAGAAGGACAATAAGACGAATAATAATAAACATATAAATAAAAAAAAAGCAACCATCATTAACAATACCAAGAAACAAAGACGGAGAATAGTTGGAGGCGGCCAGGGGACCGCGCTGGATGGGCCCTGAGACATCGGTCCATATCGCGGGCGGGACGGGGGCAGATCCGCTCAACATCGGTCCCTGGATCACGCCCGGGTCGAAGCTGGCCACTTTTTTCGAGCCGCGTCCAGCCGTGGCGACGAGAGGGCGACCTCAGCCCTCAGCCAGCTCTAAAAGAAGAGGGGCCACGACATGTGGGGTCTGATCTGCCCCCGACCATGATACCCCCCCTGCAGGCTGCTTCTTGATATGCAAGCATGCTACCTAGCATGGCATTTTACCCGACTTGCGTGAAGTCCTGATTTTCCTTTCGATTTTCCTTCCAGGCCTCGCCTAGGCGCCTCCCCCATCCATGCAAACAAACTTGCCAGACTCACTATATGCACCCAAAACACGCACCTTAATAACAACAATGGTGAAGCCATGTGCACGTTCACGCAACTGTTACAAATGACCGCGGCCGTCTAGGCCAAACATGTCGCCGGCATTGAGGCGAATCCCTGAATCGGTTAGCCAGCGTGGACCCCAAACCGTGCTTTGTTTAGCACCCTATGGGTGCAAAGATGTATGCAAATACGCGTGGTGCAAAATACGTCACGGTGCAAACTTACGTGGTGCAATCTAGGTTGTGTAAGACATGTTGCGCAACCGATAGTGTGCAATCAATATTTGGAGACATTCAAACACATGTTGTGCCACATACGAGGTGCAACCGACGTGGGGAAGTCAAGGATGTGCAATATGTAGTGCGCGATCCATTTATTATCGCAGTGAGTTGCCAATTCCACTGCTCGCGCAATACTCCCACCACCCCACCCGCAACTTGGTTTGCTAAATTCATGCGGCGGCGGCGATTGCGATGAGTGCTTGGCGTTGGCTGGTGCATACCTGCGGCCGCGCTTGCCCGTGCATGCTCGCGCGAACAGCGGCCAGCCAGTTAGGCGCGACCGACGCGGCCGCGGTGGCGTTGACCGCTGGGCACTTCCCAGCGGACACTTTGGTGCGAGTCAACGACTGGGACGGGCGCGGTATCGCGGCGACGCCGACAACTGTAGACACGATTGTGGAAGTAGCGATGGTGGTGACAATGGTGGCGATGACGACGGCAGGGCCAATGACGGCGCCGATGTTGATCACGCCCGCCGATAAAGATGACGATGTCCTCGCGTCAGCGATGAAGGGTTTTTTGATGGAGTTCGACATGCGCGCGCGGCCAAGGCGCGCGAGTGGCCCGCGTGTTATTTGACACGGATCGTGCCCCCCCAGCACGCGCGCAAGGGCGTTCGAATGATTTCGACATGCAGCGCGAGCGGCCCGTTTGGTAGAATTGCATGAAATTATTGGGAAACCCATGGTTTTCTTAAGAACCCCGTTCGTATACGTTTTCGGGGCACTCGATTTTGAAGTCCTTGCGAAACCGAGGGTTTGCAATGATGTCGGCATGCGCGGGTGATGACGCGCGCGTGTGCCCGTCGCCCCGTTTTTTTGCAAGTGATTTTTGCAACGCGCGCGCAAGGGCGTCCGAACGACTTCGACACGCTCCCGCGAGAGGCAAACTTAGAATAATGTTCTGCCACTGTTGAGAGACCGATGGTGTCCGCAAGAATTCGCAAGGCCGCGGGCGCATTTTGCTTCACACTTCCGGTTGCACAACCACATGGTTTTATATATTGTCGTGGTGCTCGAGTGTGAAACCCTTAGGAAGCCGTCATGCGCGTGCACTTCGTTCGCCCCATTTCTTGCAAAGGGACTCTTGCGACAGCACGCGCGCAAGGGCGTTCGAACGATTTCGACAAGCGCGCGCGAGAGGCCAAATTGGAAGCATTGCGCGCACGTGTTGGAAACCGATGGCTTTCGCACGATAGGGACTTCCAAGAGCGCGGGCGCAAACTTGACTTGAACATTCTTGTTGCAAAGCCATGTGGTTTTGTATGTGTTCGTGGCACTCGATTTTGAGATCCTTACGTAACCTAATAACCCCACAGGGTCTTATGACCCCCCCCCAATAGTGCGCAAATATGTGGTTGTCCCGCGGGCTTATTGACGGACTGGGACCCCAACAATAATGGAAAATATTATTTTCCGTGTGGAACTCGGGCCCCACGGGGAGGGAGGGAACCCGCGAGGACCGTGAGAAACTTCATCCTCGATTTATCCATCCTAAGGAAAATTTACGACGGCCTAAGGAGAACATAAGGACAACCTAGGAAAACCGAAAGACAACCTAAGGAAAACCGAAGGAAAACCTAAGGAACACTTAAGGAACACCTAAGGAAAACCTATGGAAAACCTAAGGAAAACCTAAGGAAAACCTAAAGAAAACCTAAGGAACACCTAAGGAAAGCCCAAGGACAACCTAAGGAACACCTAAAGAAAATCGAAGGACAACCTAAGGAACACCTAAGGAACACCTAAGGACAACCTAAGGAACACCTAGGGAAAACCTAAGGACAACCTAAGGAAAACCGAAGGAAAACCTAAGGGAAACCTAAGGAACACCTAAGGAAAACCAAAAGAAAAACCTACGGATAACCTAAGGAACACCTAAGGAAAACCTACAGAAAACCGAAGGAAAAGCCCAAGGACAACCTAAGGAAAACCTAAGGACAACCCAAGGAAAACCTAAGGACAACCAGAGGAAAACCTGAGGAAAACCGGAGGAAAACCTGAGATGTTCCGCCCTCAGCAGCTCTTCCCTCGGTTGTTTTCCAAGAGAAAGAACCACCCACCAATGCCCAGCACGGCGAACAATATCGGGATTCGAATCCTGGCCGAGCGCGCAGGGAGGGACTGCTTGGACTGATGGGTCGGAGTGGACTGATGGGGACTGATTCGGTTGATTGGCGCTAATTGGACTGATTGGGGAGATGGGGACTGATTGGGGTGATGGGGACTGATGGGGACTGACTGGGTTGATGTGGACTGACTGAACATGAGCAGCGACCTGAGACGGAGCGATCTTGTACTACGCCCCTTGCACGAACAGGCTCCGAAAACCTCCCCCGTGTAGGGTAGCCCACGCGGGGTTGTTTTCCAAGAGAAAGAACCACCCACCAATACCCAGCACGGCGACCAATAACGGGAATCGAATCCTGGCCGGGCGGGCAGGGAGGGACTGATTGGACTGATGGGTCAGATTGGACTGATGGGGACTGATCGGGTTGATTGGCATTGGTTGGACTGATTGGAATGATGGGGACTGCTTGGGATGATGGGGACTGATGGGGACTGACTGGATTGATTTGGACTGACTGACACTGAACAGCGATTCGAGTCGGAACGATCTTGTACTACGTGCCTTGCACGAGCAGGCTCCGAAAACCTCCTCCGTGTAGGGTAGCCCGCGCGGGGTTGTTTTCCAAGAGAAAGAACCACCCACCAATACCCAGCACGGCGAACAATCCTGGCCGAGCGGGCAGGGAGGGACTGATTGGACTGACGAATCAGATTGGACCGATGGGGACTGATTCGGTTGATTGGCATTGATTGGACTGATTGGAATGATGGGGACTGCTTGGGATGATGGGGACTGATGGGTACTGACTGGATTGATTTGGACTGACTGACAGTGAACAGCGATTCGAGACGGAGCGATCTTGTACTACGTGCCTTGCACGAACAGGCTCCGAAAACCTCCTCCGTGTAGAGGGTAACCCACGCGGGGTTGTTTTCCAAGAGAAAGAACCACCCACCAATACCCAGCACGGCGAACAATAACGGGAATCGAATCCTAGCCGAGCGGGCAGGGAGGGACTCATTGGACTGATGGGTCAGATTGGACTGATGGGGACTGATCGGGTTGATTGGCATTGATTGGACTGATTGGAATGATGGGGACTGCTTGGCATGATGGGGACTGATGGGGGCTGACTGGATTGATTTGGACTGCCCGACACTGAACAGCGATTCGAGACGGAGCGATCTTGTACTACGTGCCTTGCACGAACAGGCTCCGAAAACCTCCCCCGTGTGTAGGGTAGCCCACGCGGGGTTGTTTTCCAAGGGAAAGAACCACCCACCAATGCCCAGCACGGCGAACAATATCGGGAATCGAATCCTAGCCGAGCGGGCAGGGAGGGACTGATTGGACTGACGAGTCAGATTGGACCGACGGGGACTGATCGGTTGAATGGCATTGATTGGACTGATTGGAATGATGGGGACTGCTTGGGATGATGGGGACTGATGGGGACTGACTGGATTGATTTGGACTGCCTGACACTGAACAGCGATTCGAGACGGAGCGATCTTGTACTACGTGCCTTGCACAAACAAGCTCCGAAAACCCCCTCCGTGTAGGGTAGCCCACGCGGGGTTGTTTTCCAAGAGAAAGAACCACTCATCAATACCCAGCACGGCGAACAATATCGGGATTCGAATCCTGGCCGAGCGCGCAGGGAGGGACTGATTGGACTGATGGGTCAGATTGGACTGATGGGGACTGATTCGGTTGAGTGGCGTTACTTGGACTGATTGGGGAGATGGGGACTGATTGGGGTGATGGGGACTGATGGGGACTGACTGGGTTGATGTGGACTGACTGAACATGAGCAGCGACCTGAGACGGAGCGATCTTGTACTACGCGCCTTGTACGGACAGGCTCGGGAAACCTCCCCCGTGTGTATGGTAGCCCACGCGAGGTTCTTTTCCAGGAGAGATAACCACCCACCAACAACCAGCACGGCGAACAATAACGGGAATCCAATCCACTACTGCTCACTACGGCCACTACTAGTTCTACTACTACTACTACTACTACTACTACTACTACTACTACTACTACTACTACTACTACTACTACTACTACTACTACTACTACTACTACTACTACTACTACTACTACTACTACTACTACTACTACTACTACTACTACTACTACTACTACTACTACTACTACTACTACTACTACTACTACTACTGACTACTACTACTACTACTACTACTACTACTACTACTACTACTACTACTACTACTACTACTACTACTACTACTACTACTACTACTACGACCGCCACTACTACGACTACAGCTTCTACTACAACTATTGCTACTACTAGGACCACTACTACTACTACTACTACTACTATTACTACTACTACTACTACTTCTACTACTACTACTACTACTACTACTACTACCACTACTACTACTACTACTACTACTACTACTACTACTACTACTACTACTACTACTACTACGACTACGACTACGAGGACTACTACCACTACTACTACCACCACCACTACTACTACTACTACTACTACTACTACTACTACTACTACTACTACCACTACTTCTACTACTACTAATACTACTACTACTACTACTACTACTACTACTACTACTACTACTACTACTACTACTACTACTACTACTACTAAAACTACTACTACCACCACTACTACGACTACGATTACTACTACTGCTACTACTACTACTACTACTACTACTACTTGCGAGAGTGTCCTCAGTCCTCGTAGCTTGCCGGAGGTCCTCAGTGGGGGGAGGGAGAGGGAGCGAGGGGGGAGGACGGGGGGGCGCGGAGTTTTATTCCCCGGAGAGAGAACCAGGGGGGGGGGGCCCTTTTCTAAAAACCCTACCGGGTTAGTGTTCATTGATAAGGAGCCATTGGATAAGGAACCCAAGGTCTGGAAGCGAGTGGAACTCCAACCGTGGATTGGCCCTGGATAGGATAAGGAATCCTCGAGGATCTGAAGCCTCCTGGACACATTTCTGAATCAACGCCCCCACCGTGTTGGAGACCCTCCAGCGATTCCCACAGACTGTTTCGCTAGTAGCGAAACAGTCTTTGGGAGAAGCTGCATACGGTCATCGCCTTCCTACTGGCCGCACCCCGACCGCCGTCGCACGAGCGGCTCTAGGCCGGATGGCCAGGCATGGCGGCCGGCCGCAGGATAAGGCACGAAGGGGCCTTTCTGGCCACGGCGAGACACGGCCACGAACAGGTCCCCCAAAGTAGCTCTGAGGAGCGGCTCGAAAACCAGAGCCCCTCCTAGGCCTAAGGCTGTCGGTATCGCAGCGTCTTCACTGTATCGTGGCCCCGGCCATAATATCCAGCCCTTCCATTGACGGTCGGTAACTATTGCTTAGCGTGTCGCGGCGGCGGCCCCGCGACACGCTATCACTTGCAAGCGAATAGCGTGTCGCTCCGCCACGCGGTGGACCGGAGCAAGCGGAGAGACACGCTACAACCCGAAGTTCCCGACCGTAGCCATCACCTGACCATCGTGGCCCTGGCCATGACATCCAACCCTCCCCTACATGGGGAGCAAGCAGTGAAAACAGTCGAAACTCTGCGCGGACTCCTTCGATCTGCGCTGAACCTCCGCTAGGGGTCTCAGCGCAGATCCAAGAAATCAGCGCGGACCCTCGAAAGTTTATATTTACGGGTTGTTCGTGCGGCGCTGGCGCGCACAAGGGTTCTCGACACAGCGTCGATCGTTCAAGCTTGAATCGATCGCGGCCAATGCGGTTCTTGAACCGATCGTTCAAGGTTGAATTCTATCAGGTCAAATGGCGCTACCGCAGCCCCCCGTGCATTCCCGTTACAGAATTCAACCTTCAACGCATTCGCTGGCGTCGCCGGCGCGCCCACACCGCATGAACCTACCGTATGCAGTTTTTGTCCTTCGAACCGTTGCCCCTGGCCATGCTGTCCAACTCTCGTGGAGGCGACATGCTCGCCGCCGGCCGCCGCCGCCACCCTGGCTGTCGCCGTCGTGGTCGCCCTCGTCGTCGTCGTCGTCGCCGCCGCCGCCGCAATCGTCGTCGTCGTCAGCGTTGTCAACGTCGTCGTAAGTGTCGGCGTCGTCGTCGTCGAAATCGACGTTATCGTCGAAATCGAAGTCGTCGTCGTCGTCGTCGTCGTCGTCGTCGTCGTCGTCGTCGTCGTCGTCGTCGTCGTCATCTGTAGACTCTTCTTTGAGACGAAGCCAGGAAGAGGACAAGTTCGGGTGAGGATCAATCGAGGATCTCTAAACCTAGCGGCTCTGGAGGATGTCCCGGGCGACGCGGCCTTCTCAGAGGGTTCCAGAACGCTCTGAGAATATTCCAACACGCTCTGGAACGGATTCACCCTCGTTCTAGCCTCGCCCGACCCCGTCATCGTCGTCGTCTTCGTCGTCGTCATCAGCGTCGTCGTCGTCAGCGCCGTCGACGTCGTCAGCGTCGACGTCGTCAGCGTCGCCGACGTCGCCAGCTGTAGTCAGCCAACCTCCCCTCCCTTCCCCCCTCTCCTTTCCTCCCCCTCCTCCTCCTTGTCCTCCTCCTCCTCCTCCTTGTCCTCCTCCTCCTCCTCCTCCTCCTCCTCCTCCTCCTCTGCCTGTTCCTCCTCCTCGTCCTTCTCTGTTTGGCCGCGCCGTGCCCGCCGCCGTCGTCGTCGCCGCCGCCGCCATCGTCGTCGTCGTCGTCAGCGTCGTCAACGTCGTCGTCAACGCCGTCGTCGTCGGAATCGACGTTGTCGTCAAAATCAAAGTCGTCGTCGTCGTCGAGAATTTCTAAATCCTGCGAGTCTGGAGGATGTCTCGGGCGCCGCGGCCTTCTCGGAGGGTTCCAGAACGCTCTGAGAACGTTCCAGGACGCTCTGGGACAAATTCATCCTCGTTCTGGCCCCGCCCGACCCCGTCATCGTCGTCGTCGTCGCCGTCGTCGTCGTCGCCAGCTGTAAGCAGCCCCTTCCCTCCCCTCCCTTCCCTCCCTCGCCTCCTCCTCCTCCTCCTTGTCCTCCTCCTCCTCCTCCTCGTCCTCGTCCTTCCCCGTTTGGCCGAGCCGTGCCCGCCGCCGTCACCCGGGCAGCTCCAGGCCGTCTCGCCGGGCATGGCGGCCGGATCCGCAGGTCGTGCGGCTGGACAGGCGGCTGCCTGCAACTCGAGCCCGCGGGCGTCGCAGGGCGCAGCAGAGGCCGAGGTCGGGTCAGGACAGTCAAGCCGAAGGGCCAGAGCACGCCGATGCAGCTTCGTGTGGGTACCCGGCCAACTTGTCTTTCTCCTCCTGCTCCTGTTCCTGCTCCTCCTCCTCCTGGTCCCCCTTCTCCTCCTCCTCCTCCCCCCCATCTCTACAGCTACTCCATCTGAATACTACCCGCGTCTCTCCCCCGAAGATGGCCCGGGAGTCGCCCGCCGCCTCCGCATACTGTTGTTTTCTGTTTGAAACTCAGGATTTCAAGTATGTGACCTTCCAATGGTTCTGCCAATCGGAACGCTTCTGGTGTCTTAAAGTGGTCGCCAATCGTCGGCCTCACGTTAGGATCGGCGCTTTGCTCGCAACGGTTCAGAATGGCGCAGTAAGGAGGGTATGGGAGCATTGTCCCAGACTGTGCGCAAGAAGCCTTGACGGAAAGATCCAGGCCCTGACCAACTGCTTGGGCGTCCGATAAGCGGGGGGGGAGCAAGGTGCACCCTTCGGGCCCTAATAGCCCCCCGCTGGACCCCTTAGGGGCCCTGAAGGGTCCCTTGTGTGCAGCCCTCGCTGCCCTCCCATTTATCGCACCCCCCCCTCCCACCTTACGCGCCCCCCAAGAACCCCCCCCTTCTGGAGGCGCCTCTCCAGCACCACCCCCAGGCAGGGGGGGGTCCGGCCCGCTCCAGGCAATCCGCGGGGACCTCCGAGAATGTTCATATGGTTGCAGTGTTGTGCTTCTCGACGTCTGGGGGAGTGGAGGCTGGGCTAGGGAGCCCACAAAGGACGCACACGTCCAACCACGTACATGAATACAGCCCCACGGTCTGCGAGACCAGCCTCGTGATACGAACGTTCGCGCAATGCGTACTGTCGAAACCAGCGTGGATTCATTTACGAGTACGTCCTTCTTTCGCTCCTGATGGGCCTCCAATGTCTTTAGCAAACTCAGCGGTCGTCATGTTTGCCCCCCCAGGGGGCCGCCTTCGGGCTACGGGGCCGTCGAAAAAGATGGCACAGCATCAGAAGCTGGAAAGAATCGGGAATTCCAGGGAAGTCCCGTGCCGAAAGAATTCAAGGCATCAGATCTCTGGGAGCCCCTCAGATCCAAGCATCACCCCAAAAACACTACGGAGGGCTGTTCTATACGTTCAGCCTCTGGAGGCCGTCGCTGACGCCAGGCCAAAAAGACCATCAAAATACGACTCAGGTAAAAAGGCAGAACCTGGGAAAGGGACCCACGATCCGAAAAGAACGCAACGTCGGAGGAGGAGGTTCGAGGATCGGGGGTCGGAGATCGAGGATCCAGATTCGAAGGTCGGGGTTTGATGACGTTTCAGGGCTGGTACCTCCTGGACGCCCTCGTGGCTACGGCCAGCTCCGGCCCGAGACTGTGAGGAGGGGGGGCAGGCTGCGAGTCGTCGTCGTCGTCGTCGTCATCGTCGTCGTCGTCGTCGTCGTCGTCGTCAATCACAGTTCGAGGAGGACCACCCTGGCGAATCGACAGATCGTGTGGAGGTCTGGGAGAGCGAGGGGGGGAGCAACACAGAGCGAAAGAGAGAGAGAGAGAGAGAAAGAGGAAGAGAGCCAGCCAGACTGACACAGGGACAGCAAACCTCTCGTTGGATTCAACATTTGGTTGCACTTCGATCTGACCATGCCGTCGGAGCGTCACAAGCTTTTAAGCAGGAAAGTCAATATACGAACATGCTGCAAACTTTTGGCACGCGTGGAAAAATGCCAGTTCCTGACACCATTTTCAGGACAGCCGTTAGTTATGGCCGACTCCGGAAAACCTGAGTCCACCAAGTGAATGTTTCACTCTTACTTCCGCAACTTTCCGGCGACCTCCTGTTGAACATCGGAGGCGCAGAATGCCCGGCGATCTTTGGAACGCCCTAAATTTAGGGGGTTACGTGCGAACCCTACCCTACCCCCCATGATTTCTGAGGGGGAGGGTGGGGTTCCCTTCGTTCGGTCCCGAGCGAAGTGAACCCCACCCTCCCCCTCAGAAGTCGTAGGGGGTAGGGGTAGGGTTCGCATGTGCCCCCCTATAAATAACGATCACCCGTGAAGACTTGAGCTGAGCCTCTATGGAAACCACCATCACTGACCTCCGATATCTTGATGCTTCAATGTTTCGCTTCCAGAACTTTCGACAACTTCCACGGGACCAGTTTTCCACGCCCAAAAAGATTGAGGACGGCAGATCGATCAAAGAAGCTCGTCTCCCAGACCTGCATACCGCGGCCGCCAGGCCAGAGGAACTCCGAGTGTCCCGAGCATCACGCCTCGGCCAAAAGCCCTGCATACCGCGGCCGCCAGGTCCCAGTAGTCTCGAGTGCCCCGAGTACCCCGCCTCTGTAGAACTGATGGAATAGACAGACATCAAACACAAACTGGTATAACAAACAAACAAGTGCCTACGTCGAATCCTGCACATTCCCCACGCATGCACAGCGCTACACAGTGCAACTTCTGCGGCATCAACTGTTGTGGTCAGGGAAGAGATGTGCATGTGTACGAGCACGAGGCCGGCCAAAAAATGTATGGGCGCAGTGCTTCTACAAAGCTGTCGCACCGCATTTTTCTCAGGGCGAGGCAATATTGCAGTGTCTATGTGAGCCAGCAGCTTGGCGCAGATTTGTGATTGATGTTGCGTGTCTCACTCCTCCTCCTCCCCCTCCCCCTCCCCCCCGGGGGGTCCCCCCCCATTGTCCTCAAGCAGCGCACGGTGTGAATTAAGAGACAGCCGACGTGCAGCCGCCCCCGCAAAGCGGTGAGCCTTGGCTGGCATTGCCCTCTTTTGCCCACGCACTCTGGCGTATGGAATTTCGTCCATTCGTCTCATAAACATGCAGCAAAAACCGGCCTAGCGCAGGCATCAAGGAAAAACATCAAATACAGACACACATGCACATCAGGAACATGCATGCGGTACAGACAAGCAAGAACAGGCATCCATAAGAGAAACCAGAAACCACGCCGAGAGGATATAACCGAATCAAGCACCAATGACAAAAAGAGAGCACGCGTCAAGGACATGAATGCTTATGATACAGCAACAGCAGACATGAAAACATGAATGGGGGATATACACCAAGATCAGCCGTCCAAGAAATTCGACAAACAATGGCATCGCTTACAGACACGAATCACATATAGCAACAACAAGCGTTAATCAAACGCGCGAAAAGTGTCCATTAAGAACACGCAGTAGGGACAGGAACAAAGAAACATAACACAACCGTGCCAGACAGCAAGAGAACACTGAGCCTGCAGCCAGCACACCACATGCCATAAAGAAAAAACGCAGACACCACACATCTCCCTGCAGATCCACACACCCAGGCCCCTGACGTCCTGATTGTTTTCCGACGTAGACCCCCAAAAGTCTCGACCCATGACCCGGGGGCCGGATGTCCTTCCTCAGCAGTGTGCTGAAAGTCCCGGGGCTCGGCCAGGGTCCTCAGAGGGCGACAATTGCAAAGAACACCTTCCTTCACGATTGCCCCCTATCCTAAGACGGGGCTCTTGTTATTACCCACGCGCTTCAAGACTTCACTCCTCAGCTCCCTCCTCCTCCTCCTCCTCCTCCTCCTCCTCCTCCTCCTCCTCCTCTTCCTCACTCAAGCTCACTCAGATCAAAACAATCACGCATACTCAAACTTACCTGCACTCAAACTGAGTCATACTCAAACTCATCTGTAATCACGGCTGCCACTACACTCAAACTCACCCACCCTCAAACTCACTCACACGCATATATTCGCTCACGCTCATCGGACTTTCTCGTACTCACATTCACCCTCATCTCCCCTTGTCTTCCACCAGGCTGGCTCATCACACTCAGAGACACTCACACTCACACTCACGTTCGCCCCTCTTCCTGACTCAGACTTACGCATACCCCAAATCATTCACACACAAAAGCTTGTGAGGACGCCTCAGGCGAGTCGCTGGTTTCAGCACTCTCAAAAGGGAGCCGCCAAGAGGTATTTCACGGATCCGTTCGCGCCCAGATTGCGGTAATGTTTTGCGCGGATTGGTGGTAATCCACTGCTCACTTCGATACAACACAAAGGGAACCGCCAAAGGGGCATTCACGGGCCCGTTCGCGCCCAGATTGCGGGGAAGTTGCCTGTTCCTGACCCCCATGCTTCTTTCTCTCTTCCACTGCTCACCGCGGTACAGCAAGCGCTGCATGTGGGCAAGGAAGTGTACTTCACAGGCCCGTTCGCGCCCACATGATTCTGCCCCCCAATGTTGTGGGCATCCCACCGGGAAGCCGCCGCAGGGTTTTGCACGGGCCCGCTGGCGCCCCGACTGCGGGGACGTCTCGCGCGGTTTGCCGGCTTTTGCCTCCCAGACCTCCCTTCCCTGGTGGTCCACTGCTCACCGCGGCGATATAGCAGGCGTGGCACTTGGGCACCCCGAGGGTCCAGAATTCGTTTCCAGGTTGTGGAGATGTCTCAAGCGGTTTGCCTGCTACTGCCCCCCAGGCCAGCTTTTGGACTTGCGTGCTCGTCACTCACTCACTCACTCATTTGTTCCTCCACCTCCTCCTCCCCCTCCACCTCTTCCTTTTCTTCCTCCTCCTCCTTCTCGACCTCATCCTCCGTTGTCCTTCTCCACCATTCCTTTTCCATGTATATTTATATATATATATATATATATATATAAAAAAAACTGTCCCTGTCGCGCCCCGCGGACAGTTTTTGGGGCGGGCCGGGCGTTTCGCCTGAGACTTCCCCACCATTTATGACTAAGAAGTTTAAAAATTTGGCAGCCGTTTCGCAGATGGAGGGCGGGTCGTTTTCAAAAAAGTGGTTCTTGCCTTAGCGCGGCGCACATTCGTTTAAAACAAATTGCAAGAGCTTCACGGATTGAGGGCAGGTGGTTTCCAACATGTGGCTTTTGCCTGACGCGGCGCGAATTCGTTTTGAAGAATGACAGAAATTCAACGGAGTGAAGGCG